GGTTGGTTTAAAACCGCGTGGCTTTATACCATTGATTGTGTAGGCTCCATATATATGCCACATCAGTAATTTATCAGAAAATTTGACGGAAACTAACGACAGAGACCATTTTGATGTATGGATGCTAACTTTAATGACCATTAAGGTAATAAAAAAATGTTAAGGAAGAAATGTGATAATTTCATAAATCTCAAAACCATTTGTGATAAAAAGCCTTATATCTATATTATTAAAAATACTCATCTGATCAATCATTCACGATGTGGAACCATTACAACAAAAATACACTCTTCAAAATTTGACTAATCGACGTCTGCAAAACATAAAACACTGAGTGGCACTGAATGGTTTCTCCTAAGAATGCATAATATGTTGCACAAATAGTTGTGTCTCGTGTTTGGGTTGAACTAGGCCAAATACAGAGCAGCAAGCAACTAGGTAGAATATTGATCAATTCTAATTTCTTGGAGATAGAAGCACCTGGTTAATCATTTTGTCCAAAGGCACAAATGATGAGCCATTAGGGCTGGTGGCCTCCTTTGCCAACTTCTTCCATTCCAGAGCTTTCTTCCTCATATCTTTGCCCTCCTCTCCCTCCATTAACTTTCTCACAAGCCCCTCTACGTAGTTTCTTTTAACATCACTCTTAATCTCCATGCCAATGCCCCACTCTTTCTCAGTGTACCTACAATTGGTTTGTTGCTCTGCGAAGAAGGGCCAACAGATCATGGGCACTCCAGCACACACACTTTCAATGGTAGAGTTCCAACCACTGTGAGTCAAGAACCCTCCTACAGCCGGATGGCTCAGGACTTGTTCTTGAGGGCACCAATGTGCCAATAGGCTCCTTTCTTTGGTTTCTTCCACAAACTCTGGTGGAACCACAGCTGAATCCCCACCAACAAGATCAGGCCTAATCACCCAAAAGAAGGTCTGATTGCTGTTTGCAAGTCCCCAAGCAAACTCAATTAGCTGCTCTGCTGTCATCACTGTGATGCTTCCGAAGTTGACATAAACCACAGAGTTAGGTTCTTTAGAGTCAAGCCATTCTAGACACTCTGGTTCCTCTGTCCATAGGTTTGATCTTATCTCCTTCAACTCGCTATCTGCCGGGATCTGGTTAATCTGTAGATGTAGGGGTCCAATGGAGTAAATAGGTGGTAGCAAAGTTGAAAGTGCATCTAAAGCTTCATGTTCCAAGTCATGGAAGGTGTTCAAGACGACAGCAGAAGCTTTTCGAGTTCGCTCTGTTTCATGCACCAGAAAATCCAGCATGAGATCATCTGGGTCTGTGGTTCTAATGAAGCTGGGGATGTCCTTTAGTCGGATGCCTCTCATGCCTGGTATCCAATCTATCTGCGTCTCCAAATAGCCGTTTGTCAAATAATTGGCATCTGTGAATCAAACAAAGAAATAGTGCGTTATTATTCTGTTAAGCAACATGGTTAGGTTAAGATATTCATATACAAAACTAAAAATAAAATATAAATCAGTCAAGATATGTTCATGAAAAAGTCAGAGGAGTGAGATTAATACCTTTGAGAGGAGTTAGACCCTTTTCAATGAGGCGGTGGTAGTGTACATAGGCCAAGAAGCCGCAAGCACTTGTTGTCCAGAAAAGCACTTCTGGGATGCCGAGTTCGTGGGCTGCATCAAGAGTGAAGCTCATGACACCATCAGAAACTATACAACTTACAGGAGGGCAACCAGTCGAAGAGTTCAGCTTAGACAAAAGGTCTCTGAAGTAAGGCAAGCTGTGTTTCCTAGTGGATTCACATAAGGATGGTATGTCTTGGGTGGCATTGGCATCAGTCGGTGGCAGGCCGTCGGGAATGGTCTCGAATCGAAAGGAGGGAAGGCCATCGAGGGAGTTGGGACCTCTGGATTTAAGAAGGCGTTTGTGGTTGAACTCTGTGTTCACAAAGGTTATATGAAAACCTTTGTAGTGGAGGAGTTTTGCTAGTTTCAGCATTGGGTTAATGTGGCCTTGAGCTGGGAATGGTATGCAAACTGCATGTGGCTTCTCTATCAAACCGTTTGAACCCATTCTTTCTTCTCTTCTCTTTTTTGTTCTCTCCAAAATAAAACACAAGTTTAACCAAAACCTGAGGAAGATGGTGGTATATGCAGTTGGGGAAGAGAAGTGTTTTACCGTACCAGATTTATAGGATCAAATTCCATGAGCTCATAAAACATTTTTTCTTTTTTTTTAAAGACAAATTAATGCGACAAAGGAAGCACGGTACATGAGGGTTCATACAAAAATGTCAATAATGGCTGTGGGGGTTGACAATTTGTTCATACGTGTTCAAACCCTCAGGGCATGGGCTGCAAAGCAAGTTTGTCTCCATATTGAGATATAGTATAATATGATGTGCCATAATAGACCGGCCGGCTGGCGAGATTGTATAAGATTTTGTATTCTTTCCCAATACAGATGTAGTCTGGCAGTGCATTGATTCATTTTGTTTGTTTGTTTGTTTGTTTATTTATTTGTTGATTTTGGTTTGATTTTCTGGATTTTATATTAAGATTGGATCACTCTCCACCCGCACGGGAGGCGGCAACAGCGATTGCACGTTTTCATTCCTATTTTTAAGTACTTTTTAATAATAGATTACACAAGTGATTTTGGATGGAAGAAGTCGAACTTAAAACCTCAAATAGATGGACAATTGTACAAGGCCCTTGTATATAATAGAAATATTATTAAGAAAAACTCTCTATCAAATCACGTTATGTTGAACTTGAAAGATCAAGGGCAAGATAGTACAACTAAAAAAATTCCATTTGTCAACCTTGAACAAAAAAATTTCTAATTTACCCATCATTTTCACTCGTATTGACAAATTTTTTTTTTTTGTTGCAGCAAATGCTTTATAACTTTTGAACAAATGTAAACTTAATTCATACTTAGGGATATTATTGCTAATATTATATCATTTCTAATTGGTTGCTTTTTTAACTTTAACTTTAACTTTTATCTTTCAATCAATCGAATCATTTCACATGTCCCATTTTCTCAATTCATACGGCATTATTTCAGTTATGCTTAAGAAAACCCTTTGTATTCACATTTTCTCAAATCCTCGCAGTCTGTTGATTTTTATTCAGTTGGTTTAGATTCAATCACAGTTCTTTCGCTTGTGATACCCATTCGAATATAGTTTTATAAGAAATAAATATCATAATTTCAATTTGATCTCTCTATTTGCTTAGTCTTCGAACTGCACAAGTGAAATATTTATATTGAAGTATTTATCAATCAAGGGATATAAAAGAATCAATCCAAATCAGTTTCCCAACAATTTCTTAAGGCGCAAGACGTCAACATTAGCACGACATCCGATTCATACATTTTCTGTAGGCTTTTCAAGTATCAATAATGGCACACCTTCCAAGACCATTATAGCCCATTTTTTTGGACCCGTTGTCTTGGAAGCTATTAGGGCATTTCCAGCAGTAGGAATCTTCTCATGGCAAAGGGGGAGCTAGGACTGACACTATTCATGAGAATAGTGTCTGTCCTTGCAAAAAGTAAGTTGCACTTCCAGCAGTTGCCATGGCAAGGGGGGTACTATTCAATTTTTTGTTTTTTTTCACAAATTTGTTTACCTAAACAATTAATTTTGACAATATTTTCGGATGAGATTTTATGATAATGACGGTGAATGAAGTGAAGTGAAGAACATTTTTAAGATTTTAATGTTTATGTGTTTATGTTTAGTTCTGTTTGGTTTTTTTATGCTTTGATTATGGTTTGTTTGTTTTTATATATTTAATGCTTTGGTTGTGGTTAGTTTTTTTTATGTATGGAATGTTTTGAATAAAAAGGAATTTTATTTAATAGTTTCTTTGATAGAGAAAAATTAGACTCGAAAGTGAAAAAAATTTAGAGTTGAAAGTGAAAAAATTATTGAGTACAAAGTGAAAAAATTATTGAGTAGAAAGTGAATTTGTTGTTAAAAGTGAAGAGTATGGATTGGTAGTTATAGAAAAAAAAATTCAGTATTTTTTGGGATTTTTTTAAAAAAATTTACTATTTTTTTCATAATTTTTTGCCTTGAAAAATTCCAGGCTGTTGGATTGGATGAAAAATCGGAAATCGGAAGGACCAGGTTGCGCCATGTGGCAGCAGAAAGAAAAAAAATTGATTTGCGCCTGCTGACGTCAGCGCGCCTTCGGGCTGTAGCTCGTGCTCCTCCTGCCTTCGGGCCAACCCAAGCTCGTGGACCCCATATGCTCGTGGACCCCACCTTGTCCGGGCCAGCCTTTGTTGCTAGAACTTGCATTTGGGCTCTTGCCCGCCCCCCAGCCCGAGCCCTCGGGGGCTGCTGGAAGTGGCCTTATGGGTGTCAAAGTCCACAATCACACTGTTGGAGTAAATAGTCTCTTACTAAAATACAACGAACGCCAAGAGTGCACATCCATTTCTGTTGCTTTCTTTCGAGGATCGTCATTTAAAAGACCAGTCCAAGTGTAATATTTTTTTTCGGTTGCAAGTGTGAATTATTTAACCACTTGATTTCTACCCATCATCATTCTAGTTTTACTGAACGCATTGTTCTTTTCAATTTATGTTATGATGATTAGATGACCAAGTAAAACACGCAATATAATCAATTGATACTGTTGAAGAATACACGAGTTCCACATCGGAAACTTAACAAAATAAAAAGTCTCATATAATAAATGGTTTCACTCCTAATAATATTAAGGCCTTTTGTATAAAACCTCACACCTGCTAAATAGGTGGTTAAGTTGAGGACAATATCGATATTACTAGTGGTGGGCAAATGGTCCGTCCCTCTGAAATCTTAACAGATACTTGGTCAGCATGTGAAGTGAAACTGAACATTCTTATCATATGGTAATTCTTGTTTTGAACTTACCAGATGTTAAACTAATTTGTCTAGGTAAAAGCAGACTTGTTCAACAAGAAAGCGAGAGATAGGAAGGGGAAGAGGGGCAGAGGTTGGTTATCATGAAGGGGAACCTACCCTTTGACCAAATCATAATCTATTTCCCCATCTACCCACCCTTCGACTTAAATCACTAGCATGTAAAGGGTGGTATATAAAATTCATAAATATAACCAAGTCCAAAAAGAAGAAAAAAATCAATTTTTATATACAAATTTCAATGTTACCAATGTAATATAAAGATTTGTCCCAAAAAAATGTAATATATAGACACTGTTTGCAAATACAAAAATAACTCATTCAAATCATAAAAGGAAAAGTTTATATACGTATGTCAGATTGTATAATTTGTCGAGTAAAGTATTTTCTATAACTTATATGGAGCAATTCCTCCTTCATTGACAGTATGACAAATACACAACAAACAAAAAATTTGATTTACACAAACATGTCAGATTTTAATTTGTCTATAAAAAAATAAAAAGAAATGAACCAAAAATATTTTTTCAGGACTCAAAAGACTTGCAATAATCACAAAATCACAACAATGGTGTTCATCACATCCCCCAACTAAGTTGAGCTTACCTATAGAATTACCACTATTTTACCAACTAGTTACATAAGCTGCCATTTTCATTTCAAAAAACCCTTCCCTCCTTTTTGTGCCGTTAGTGATCCGGAACACTGTTGTCAGCTAAACATCCCGAAAGATTTCATCCAAAATAAAAGAAATTAGAAATTGAAACATGTTAAAGAGTCTGTAGGCTGTAGGTACAGACAACCCTACCAATTGGCATCAATTTGCTTCATTTCTATCAGAAATGGAGTTTTCTTGGGAAGCAGACATTGCACACTCGGAGTACCATTGCTAGCCTGCGCTGAGTCTCTATAAGGTTAAACGCTTCTTTTTGTGTTGGTAATTACTTTGGTGTGAAGTGTATTTTTTATAATGTTGATCTTCACGCTAGGTAGATCAAGAATTGGCTGTTTATGTTTGCACATGAATCGTTCGTTAAAATGCCTCTATGGGATTTGCCTTTAATTTTTCTGAATGCGGTACCTCTGTTTTCATGTCTTTCACTTGCATGAAGCTTGTTATTTTATCTATCTTGGGCTCTCTCTCCTACGCTGTTCATGGGTGCAATGCAGGTCTGTCACCCCCTTGTTAAACATCTGCTGCCTAATTTGAAAGAGTTGAAATAGCTCGGCTCTATAGAGAAAAGAGCACCGTTTCATTAGTCTTGCCAAATAGAGCTCCTCCTTTGATGAGGGTAAAAAGAAGATAATCTCGGTATATTAACCTAGGAGTGCACAGTATGGAAGTCCAATGCAGGAATTTAGGCAGAGTAGTGTAAGTTAGTTAGAATAACATGGTTGTCAAGCTCTTTAGGCATGTTAGGTGTAGTAACAAAGGGAGCTTTTATCACACATAACCCATCGATTATTTCCCGATCAACAAACTCTTTAGGTAAGTTAGGTGAAACTTTGGTATCGTGCATCAGCGTGGTAACCGATGCCACTTACGTTTGCCTTGGACTTCATTTTACATTGGACCGATGTCAAGTAAATGCATACCTAAAAAATGAATTCGTGATAGAAGCAGTATTAAGCTTAATAGGTAAACTTCTTGGACAAATACAAAGTAAAAACAAGATAGATTTTGAATCAATTATAAATTTCTAATTCCTCGGAGATAGAAGCACCTGGTTAACCAATTTGTCCAAACCCACAAAAGATAACCCATTTGGACCAGTGGTGGCCTCCTTTGCCAACTTCTTCCATTCCAAGGCTTTCTTCCTCATCTCTTTGCCCTCCTCTCCCTCCATTAACTTTCTCACAAGCCCCTCTATGTAATTTCTTTTAACATCACCCTCTATCTCCATGCCTATGCCCCACTCTTTGCAACAGAACCTACAATTGATTTGTTGCTCTGCAAAGAAGGGCCAACAGATCATGGGCACTCCAGCACACACACTTTCAATGGTAGAGTTCCAACCACTGTGAGTCAAGAACCCTCCTACAGCCGGATGGCTCAGGACTTGTTCTTGAGGGCACCAATGTGCCAATAGGCTCCTTTCTTTGGTTTCTTCCACAAACTCTGGTGGAACCACAGCTGAATCCCCACCAACAAGGTCAGGCCTAATCACCCAAAAGAAGGTCTGATTGCTGTTTGCAAGTCCCCAAGCAAACTCA